AACAATATCATACGAAAGCTGACTGGCACAACCTGGGGATCACAACCAGACACAGTGAAGACATCTGCCCTTGCGCTGTGCTACTCTGCAGCTGAGTATGCATGCTCAGTGTGGAACACATCTCACCACGCTAAAACAGTGGATGTGGCTCTTAATGAGACATGCCGCATTATACACCACTGGAGAAATTACACTGCTTAGCCAGTATTGCACCACCTGACATCCGCCGGGAAGTAGCAGCCAATAGTGAAAGGACCAAGGCAGAGACATCTCCAGCTCATCCCCTGTTTGGGTATCAGCCAGCACGTCAACGACTTAAATCAAGAAATAGTTTTTTAAGATCTACAGAGACACTTGCTGAAACACCCCAGCAAGTGAGAGTCCAAAAGTGGCAGGCTCAAACCCAGAACCTCAATCAATGGCTGATACCAAATGAGAGACTCCCCCCTGGGCACACAGAAGACGGGGTGACTTGGAAGGCGCTGAACAGACTGCGCTCCAGCACCACGATATGCAGAGCCAACCTTAAGAAATGGGGCCACAAAGTGGAGTCCACGACATGAGAGTGCGGAGAAGAGCAAACCACAGACCACCTGCTGCAGTGCAACCTGAGCTCTGACACATGCACCATGGAGGACCTTCTTGTGGCAACACCAGAGGCACTCTAAGGGGCCAGGTACTGGTCAAAAGACACTTAATGAACTACCAAGCTTGCAAATTCTGTGTTTTGTCTGTTTGTTCGTTTGTTTGCTTGTTTTTGTTAAAAATGTAATACAAATTATTATTATTATTATTATTATTATTTGAAACACAACAAAATGAGTCCACAGCAAACAAGGTCACTCTGCTGGCCGTTCAATAACACGTCAGACACTTCCCAAGAGTCTAGGACTGTGTGATGTATCAGCGAATAATGCGTGCAGATATTATTATTACTATTATTATTATTATTATTATTATTATTATTATTATTATTATTTGAAACACAACAAGATGAGTCCACAGCAGACAAGGTCACTCTGCTGGCTGTTGTATTGGATCACACGTTGGACCCTTCCCAAGTGTCAAGGACTGTGTGATCTATCAGCGAATAACGTGTGCAGATCCCAGTCAGGTGGCCTTTTGCAGCTGGCAGATGGTAATTTTGTCAGCGCCGATTGTGTCAGGAGTGTTGTGCTCCAAAACTCTGTCTGTCTGAATCCGGAAGTCCCAGAGGAGTTTGACGTGTTCATTCTCTGTAACTTTTTCAGCTTGTGATCCCACCAGTTCTTTGTCGCAGGCAGATGGTGTTTGTGGCACAAGTTCCAATGAATCATCTGAGCAAGGGTGTTGTGCCTCTGCTTGTAGTCTGTCCATGATCTTCTTGCAGCAGCTGAGGATGGGATCTCTTGTTTCATCTGCTTCCTTGCAGAGTCTACACTTGGGATCTGTGGTTGACTTTTCAATTCTGGCTTGGATGGCCTTGGTTGGAATGGCTTGTTCTTGGACTGCCAGAATCAGGCCCTCCTTTGTCTCCTTTTCCGGAGTTCCATTTGTGAGCCACAGCCAGGTTTGTTATTATTATTATTATGGACACAAAAGCACTGTATGTCACAGCAAATGAGATCTCTGTGCTGGATTTCGTATCACAAAATCACAAGTCGAACACTTCCCGAGTGTCTAGGACTGTGTGATGCATTTTCGAATGATGTGCACAGATCCAAGTCAGGTGGCCTTTTGCAGTTGACAGATTTGGTCAATTATTGATATTATTATTACTATTTTTTCTACAAAATTGGCAAGGTATAATTCTCAGGGCACCATTCTCTTTTTATATATTCCTCATTATCTATATCTATATATATCTAATTATTTAATGTGTGTGTGTGTGTATAACATCCTTGAAGTGACTGGCTTGACTTTGAAGGAGCTGGGGGTGGTGACGGCCGACAGGGAGCTCTGGCGTGGGCCGGTCCATGAGGTCACGAAGAGTCGGAAATGACTGAACAACAACAACATATATACATACACTAATTTTGTTCCAAAAATGGGAAACAACAACTCCCAGGGACGCCTTCTTTTTTATATATTATTCACATTACTTTAATGTTATATTATTATTATTATTATTATTATTATTATTATTATATTATTATTAACAAAATTGGGAAATGACAACTACTAAGGCTCCATTCTTTTATAAATATTATTATTCTCATTATTTAATGTTATATTATTATATAAATATTTTATTGTTATTATTATTATTTTCAAAATTAGGAAACTAAAACTCCCAGGGCCCCATTGTTTTTTATATATTATTATTCTCATTATTCAATGTTTCATTATTATTATATATTATATTATATTAAATATTATATTGTTATTATTATTATTGTTTTCAAAATTGGGAAACTACAACTCCCAGGGCCCCATTCTTTTTATATATATTATTAGTATTAGTATTTAATGTTATATTATTATTATTACTATTATTATTATATTGTTATTATTAACAAAATTGGGAAACTACATCTGCTAGGGCTCCATACTTTTTTAATGTATTACTATTCTCATTATTTAAGGTTATATTGTTATATAAATATTATATTGTTTTTATTATTATTATTTTCAAAATTGGGAAACTACAACTCCCAGGGCTCCATTCTTTTTTATATATTATTCTCATTATTTAATATTATATTGTTATATAAATATTATATTGTTAGTATTATTAGTATTATTATTATTTTTAGAGTTGGGAAACTACAACTCCCAGGGCCCCATTCTTTTTTAATATATTATTATTCTCAGTATTTAATGTTATGTTGTTATATAAATATATTATTATTATTATTATTATTATTATTATTATTATTATCAAAATTGTGAAACTACAACTCCCAGGGCCCCATTCTTTTTTATATATTATAATTCTTAATAATAATATATAAAAAATAAATAATAATGTTATATTATCATTATTATTATTGTTATTCTCATTATTTAATGTTATATTGTTATATAAATATTATATTGTTATTATTATTATTTTCCAAATTGGGAAACTACAACTTCCAGGCCCCATTCTTTATATATTATTATTATTATTATTATTATTATTATTATTATTATTCTAATTATTTAATGTTATATTATTATTGTTGTTATTCTCATTATTCAATGTTATATTGTTATATTATTATTATCATTATTATTATTATTATTATCATTATCATTATCCCTATTCTTCTGTCTTACTTTTCCTCCTCCTATTCTTTCCTCCTTCACTTGTTTTTCTTTGTCCTTCTCTTCTTATTCTCTTCTTGTCTTCCTCCTTCTTCCTCCCCCTCATTCTCCTCTTCCGTCTTCCTCTTCTCTTCCCAATCCTTCTCCTATTCTTCTCTTCTTCTGTCTTCCTCTTCCTCCTTCACTTGTTTCTCTTTGTTCTTTTCTTCCTATTTCTTTCTCCTCCAGTCCTCTTCTTCCCTTCTTCTTTCTACTCCTCCCTTTTTTTCTCTTCCTCTTTTCTTTCTCCTTCACCTTCTTCTCCTTTTCTCTTTCCTCTCTCTTTTCTTCTTCTTTATTCTTCTCCTTCCTTTTTTCTTCTTCTCTTCCTTCTTCTCCTCCTCTTTCCTTTCCCTCTCTTCTTCTTTCTTTCCTTTCTTCTCTCCTTTTCTCCTCTTCCTCTTCTTCTTCTCTCTTCTCCTCTCTTCTCTTATTTTCTTTTCTCTCCTCTCTCCTTCTCTCTCCTTCCTTCTTCTTCTCTCTTCTCTCTTCCTTTCTCTTCTTCTCCCTTCTTTTTCTTCTCTTCTTCCTCCTTTCCTTTCCTCTTCTTCTTCTCTTTTCTTCTCCTCCCTCCTCTTTCCTCTCTTCTTCTTCTCCATCTCCTCCTTTCTCTCTCCTTCTGCTTCTCTCTGGCAGAAATTCTTTATTTGTTTAGAA